TCCAATACTCAGATGTTGAAAACCTAAGGCCCATGGTGACAGTATCAGGATTTGAGGTATTGAGCAGTTGAACTGAACATGAGGGCAAAAGCCTCATGAATGGGATTCATACCCTTAAAACGGATTCCAAAGCGCTAGCTCACCCTTTTGCCAGGTGAGGTCATGGTGAGAAGTCAGCAGTCTGCAAGCCTGAAAAGGGCCCTCACCACAAGCCAGCCATGCTGGCACCTGGTTGTGCGCTTCCAGATGCAGAACTGTGAGAAATAAAGTCCTCTTGTGGATAAGCCACCCAGTCTGTGCCATTTTGTTACAGCAGCGTGAATGGACTAACACACCAAAGGATGAGTTGCTTTCCTGATCACACTCCCTAATGACTGAGAGATTCGTTAGTGTGTGAGTTGAAGTGAATGCATACTTTCTCTTTACTTTCTTATCCTCTGGGCTGCACTCCGTTCCTACCCCAGCCTCACCCAGTGCTGGTGAAGGAAATTTTCCAAGGATATACACCTGAGGCACTCTGAAGGTAAGCAATGAGATTTTTAGTTTGTAGAAAAAATAAAGACATGCATATGAGTGAGCAATAGGTATTTCCTAATATGTGTACACACCCTGCTTAAAACGAGGTGGAACATGCTAACAGTTTCAAATTGCACTCCAAGGCTAGGAGAAAAAAGCCATGGCCGGTGAGTTTTGGTTTTTTTTTTCTTGTTTTTTGTTGTTCTGTTTTGTTTGTTTGTTTACTTTCTAGAAGGATAGGTCTTGTGAAAAATTTTTGAAAGCGGCTGGCTTTTGGGGAAGCCATAATTAGGTTCTGTGAATGTTTAGGTAAACTGGGGGAACAGAGCTGAGGGAGAGGGAAGAAAGAGGAGCGAGGAGGAAGGGAAGGAGAGAAGGGGCCTTAAAGGCTTAACTGAATTATCTGCCAAAGGGTGCAGGATCCCCATGAGATGGGTACCCAGCTGCTGTCCCCAAGGGAAATAGGCTATCACTATTTCCTTCTTTTATTATGCAGGGTTGAATAAACAGGAGACATCTGAGACTTCAGGCTCTCAGTGAGGGATGTGGGTAGCTCAGGATGACTGAACTGCATGGGGAGGGACATTTTATGGATTAAATCTAAAGGAGGCTGTTGCTGACTTGAGAGGAAAATGAGGCTGTTTAGTGACTTGAGGAATCCTTGTGCTTCAAACAGACAAAGTCCTGAAGGAAAAGAGGAAGGTTTTTATCCAATCAGTGACCGAGGGCACCATAAATGGCTTGTTGGATGACCTATTAGAGAAAAGAGTGCTGAACCAGGAGGAGATGGAGAAAATAAGACGTGAAAATGACACAGTTATGGATAAGGCCCGAGCTTTGATTGACTCAGTCACTCGGAAAGGGGACAAGGCTAGCCAAGCATGTATCCGTCAAATCCGTGAAATTGACTCCCACCTTGCAGAGAAGATGGCGCTGCCCTCAGGTAAGGTCTACAGCTCGGACTAAAGTCCATGCAGGCCCCGTGTCTTTGCACCCACATAGGATTTCTTCATTGGTCATGATAGTTTGCCGACAACTTCTTTACATCTGGCTTCAGGGCCCCATTTCTAAGGCAGTGGCACTATTGTATATCCCCTGACTCGTTACTCTTAATTCTTATTCCTTTAGCCTCAGAATCCTTCTAAGAATTAAAACTCACTTCCCTTCCTGAGTATATGGTAGCTCAGTTGTTGAAGTTTATGAGAACAGTCTGATAAACTTCATACCACATTCTCTAGTCCCCCTGGCAAGGCACTTTACTTATTTGTTTGTTAAGTTAGTTAGTTAGTTAGTCAGCTAGTTACTTAAGTCTAGGAATTCCTAGTAACTTATATAGTTATCTGACATGAAGATTTAAAGTCTGTCATTGAATAGTTTTATAATTTCTCTCCAAAAGTTTGCTTCCCAGGAGGAATAAAATATTTCAATGATGGTGAAGCACTCAGAGAATAAACTCAATCCTGACAGAAAAGCTAGGATTTTAAATGTGGACTCTTTCATTTAATTGCCCTCTTGCATTTTCTTTGAGTGATGTTGTCCACTAGCATGGAACTAGGCTGTAGACCATTGAGTAAGGCCCGACCTCTACTTCACATGCTCCTGAGGCCCTGATACAAGAAAGACAGGCATCTAACCTGCCCCTTCTATCCAAGGTCCCTAAGTCCCCCACACAGCCAACATGGGAGCTCTGGCGGACTCTCAACCACGGGTATTTTTTACGCTCCCCAAATGCAATCAGAGGGAAAAGTTGTTCTTTGAAAGCAGGTCCTCTTTTTCTCCAGGACTAGGGGAAGCCTATGCCTGGCTTACTGACACAGCAAAGCTCATCTCTGGGTAACTTCCTGTTTTTATTTAATACCTTTTTTTCTATTTAACACTCCCCCAAATTAAAGACAATCAATAACTAACAATAAGGGTTCGGAATAATTGCTAGTAGCCAAAGTTTCCTCTTCCTTGCCCCATTCCTTTCAGTTCATAGTCCTTGAGTCCTAGAGGCACTTGGACAAACCATTCTAATAAAGCCAACACCTGCAGTCGCCTGGCTGTTTGCCAGCTGATGCCCCCTCAGTCAGGCTGTCATGCCTTTGTCTCTCTCTCATCTACTTGGCAATTGTTTTCTGAGCCACAGAATATGGTAATTTGATTATTTATTTGAATGACTCTAATGGGAGAGATCTTTCTAAAAAAAAGTTCTTGACATGTACACTCCTGCCACCACAAGGCCTCCTCCAGAAAACGTTCTTGAAGTAGTTGATGGTTAATTCAGTCTAGCAGTCTGGATGGGAAGGACGGGATGAGCTGCAGTCTGTCGCCTTGGGTTCAGCATTTTGAGAGAGAGCTTATGGCTCTCCCTCATGCAGAGCAAGGAACTAGACCATATTTTGTCTATGAAGATCTTGTTTTCAATAGTAACTATGGGATGAAAACTCAGTGTATTTCACAAGTGTTGGCTCATGCCAATTCTTAGAATTTCTGGATTAAACTTTTAAGGTGTGTATTGTTATATTGAGATCCTTATAAAAACTTAAAAACCTTACATTTAATTCCTGTCCGTGAAATTGACAAGTATAATGAACTGTGACCTCAGAGGACGCATTAATACACTTGAGTTGTTTTATACAACCAAATACTGTAGCAGGCTTCTGAGTGTTAGTTTGTTTGACCTAGATTGAATTACAAGTTCTACTAGAGACTACATGTCTTCAGGCTCAAGTTCAACAGTGATGGACTCTGCTTGCTGCAGAGTTTAAAATAAAATACCAAACCTGTATACTAGTGATACAGAGTTTTTGGACTAGAACCCAGGTTCTTTGTCCACTGGAATTGAAGAATGAATCCACGTACAGACAGTGGTATGGCAAAGGTAGAGATTTATTGAAGAACAAGTACAGACTCCCATGAGTGGAAAGTGAAAGAGCCCCATAGAATGAACTCCCATGTAGGGAGGGGGAAAAGATCCCACTGAGTTCCTTTTCCCTGTGGCTTATAAAGGCTGCAGATCTTGGTGACTTAATATCCCCTCTGATTGGTCACTATTCCCTTGGACTGGTTACGATAGTAACTCCTGGGCTCAAGGTTGGGACATGTGAAGTTCTCCCCCATCTCATTTCCTATTGCTTTCCTATTCCCTGTGGGCTTTCTTCCTCTCCTTCTGGATGAAGGGCTTCCTTCTCTTTATTTTGTAAATATAGACCTTTTGCTGTTCCCAGCTCCCTCATTCTATGGAAATGTTCCTGTTGCAGCTTTTCAGCTTCCCTATTCTATGGAAATATACCTTCTGCTGCTCTGCAACCCTGTACTTCCTACATGGTTCCCTTAACTTCCAAAAGTTCTATTTCCTAAACTTGTCCTATTTCACCCCTAAAATTCCTGTTTCACTAGAGTTCATCAATAATAATAAAAAATTAATACATAAAAGATTAAATACATTATAGAGCCCTCACAATTACACATACGGTTTTGTTTCTTTTTTCTTTCCTCTTTTTAAATGGCTCCTTATTACTGAAAGCATTACATGTCCCGTTTTTTCCCCCTCCACCCCCAGGCCTTCACCACACCAGTGTCTGTGTCCATGGGTTATGCATATCTGTGTATAAACTTTTGAAAGAAGCCGTTCTCTAGGTGGAAGGGACATTCCCCCCAGCAGGAAGGACACGCTTGTTTGGTAGCTGTCCAAGATTGTGGTCTGAGCGGATTATGATGTGTTCTGTGGTTCCCTGGGCTCTATCTGCACATGGAGTCCCCAGGGTGATCCTAGGACAACTAAGGTCTACAAGCCTAGCAGGCCAGGAAGCTGGGTGAGATGAGCTGTTAGAACAAGTAAGGTCCTGGCCAGGCCTTTTGGACATATCATAGATATAATTCTGAGGGTCCCTAGTATAATATTGAGAGAATGGTGTGGGGGATAGAAAGAATACAAGGTATTTTATTGCTTATTTTATTAAACAAACTCATATATAAACACATACGACGTACCAAGCATTGATATTTAGTCAGAGAGATAAGTACTCAAAATGCTACCCATCGAGGGATATGGTTTTGTCTCATCTAATACCAGTGCCTACCTTTTTATATCATTTGAAGGGGTTTCTTGAGTGTGTCCTTAGGTAACAGGTAAACTGAGCTTTTTCAAGTTTATCTAAGCTCCTATTTCTCGCATTTCTTTCAGCTCCATTCCCAGACTGCCAGAAACTCCTTTAGGGCAGCAGGCTGTACTATAATATCTATTATATTGTAATGAGAGGATTTGTTTTCATGTTAATTCATACTATTAGATGTAACATAGAAATATAATTCCCAATCTTAACTACAAACACTATAATTATATATAGACACACAATTGTCATTAGGAGATGATGTTTCTTAAGTTAAAAGTGTTCACCAAACTTGCAAATAGCTTGGAAACAGAGGAGGTTTTTGCTGAGAAACATCCCCTCTAATGAGGGAACATCCCAGGACCCGGGGTGTCTTTACATTGCCAGAATCTTCTGGAATAATAAAGGAGAGCATGCCTCTTTTTAATCTCTAAAAATGTTCAGAAAGCTTGGTTTCCTTAGAGACTAACAATTTGCTGCTTCTATAGAGCTTCAGTGTTTAGCATATGTTTTAGAAAGATGTTTATTAAAAATATTATGAAAAAACTAATGGAAATAAATGAGTAAAATAGAAAAAAATAGAAACTAAAACATTTATACAGGATAATATTGC